GAATTGACGAGGACTTTAACTTAGGGAATGTTACATATGTATATCTATACACAACAATAAGCTTGCAACTATATCAAAGAGAATGGTTCCGAAGTTACTCATCCGACAGGTAACAGTATACAGGTGTGGCATTCAGACAAATTGGTAGTAGAATCATATGATGTATGATGATATCCCTGTAGTGCAGAATGTTTGAGCACTATTATATATCTATTATATATGCTACACAGATTTGGAATACATTTGAATAGGAAATAGTAATACGTGTGCAAAATAAGACTATAAAAAATATATTTGGGTTTAAATTAAAAACATTAATATGACTGACTCACGAAATACACATGATAATCAGCCGTATCATGAATTTCGTTCTAAATTTTCGTTAAAAATTTTTTGTTGTCTTCTTCATGTAGCGTAGCTACCATGAAGGAAGTTAATTTTTATTTGCCAAAAAATGTTTTTCCCACTTTTCAAAAATATTCAAAAACTAAAAACACTGCAGAACTTTCATAAAAAATGAATGAAAGTTGTTTACTCAAATAGTGACAAAAAAATTTAAATAAACACTGGGCAGTTGAAATAAAATACTGATTTTCATACTCTGAAAAATTGTGCTGCTATTTCTGATATGCTAATCTCTGTAAAAGGAATTTATGATTATTCATAAGTCTACGTCGCAGATAAGTTAGTATTTAGTAGGATTTTACAACTGGAATTTACGATAGGACTTTGAGTATTCTCATTAAAAGTACTCGAGAGGCATTTAGGTATAAATACCAACATTAGGACTATCCATAGTTATTTTACCAGAACTTCACACACAGACTGTGGCCCGGAAAAATTTTTGACAAATTAGTATAATATAAGTATGCATGTATATAGAATAGCTTTTAAAAATTGCAATAATTTACCGAATCTATTAAAACAAATTTGTATAGTAAATAAATAAAAAAAATTAACAAATGAATATTATAGAAAGAAAATAAATCTCTAGGTAATTTACGAAACTTATTAGTTTCGCTTTTACAAAATTCTTAGCATTATTCATATTTTTAGTTTGCTTTAGTATTAATTTTTTTTTTAAATTTTTCTATTAGTTTTTCTTTTTTTGGCGTTGAATTGCCTTGTTTTATTTGAATTTTGTAATGAATTTTTATATACTCTGTACGAACGATTTGGCTCTTTTAAAGACAAACATTATTAAAAAAATTTACTATTTACATGAATTTTTTTTCAACACCTTTCATAAAATCAATTAATTTATTATAAATTTACTATAAATTTTTATGTTTTAAATTTATATCTAACTTTGTATCTAAATTTTTTAAATAAAACTAACAGTCTTTTAAAAAAACAATCAAAAGTTTATATAAGTAAATATTTAATTAATAAAATATACTACTTTATAGGTATACATATAATATAAAAATTGATTTTTTTACTGTTTTTCTTTTTAATTCTTTCCTCCTCTTTATAGAATTAAAAATTTTCAAAATTACGTTTTTAATGTAAAATAATTTACATATGCAAATATATAGTATTAATTTACATACATACATACATAAATGCTTATTTAATATAAAACATCAATAGAAATAAGAAAACAACAATGCGGAACTGAAAGATTTTATCGAAATTTCGAATATTATTTAACTAATTCGAAATAAAAAATTTGATATTCTATAAAAAATTAAAGCACGAAGAAAAACTCTTTTAAACAATTTATATTATATTCGTCTTGATTATTTTGAATAAAAACTGCATTCATTTTAATACCCTCAATCTTAACGTTGGAAAAAGACAAGAAGGCAACAAAAATCTTTTCATAGTCTATTATATAATTAAATAGAATAAAGTTACAATTTAAAATAATAATATAGGTATTTCAATATAGGTAACAACATTCAAATATAAATACATATATGATAATTATACATACAATATGTATTTATATAGTAAATATATGCATAAGCTTGTATATTTTAAGCATCATTTTTTCTATTTAAATTAAATTCATCAACGTGATTAATTTGCATTTATTGAATTTCATTTTCTTAAATTACTATTTCAATTTCATTAATTCATTGATATTAATCGATTTCAATTTCAAAAATGATTGAATTCTTCAAAAATATTCTGGAGAATAAAAAAAATATATGTATTTGCACAAGAAAACATTAAACAAGAGAATTTAAACAAAAAGTGATAATTTACTACTCAAATAAAAGCAATGCGTTGCCAAAATTGAATCTTGATCGATTTGGCATTATGTTAAGAAATTTAATTGTTCCGGAACAGATTTCAGGTAACAAATGACCTTGAACTGCGTTTCTTTAGAATCTATGTAGATTTTCAAACTTATTTTGTTAAGTATATGATACAACAAATTTCAAATTTTAATTAGTTAGAAATTAAAATTCAGTAAAACAAAAATTTCACAACGTATACTATTGACTAATTGATTCATTATACAATTACTTACATAAACCTAGGTCAACACTATCTTAGTCACGCCAAAATATGAAGCAAAGGTAAATTAAAAATATTTTATAAATTTGACATAAATTTAGTAAGTTGGTAAAACCAATAGGAAATGCGAAAATGCAATTAGAGAAAAAATAAATTCTGAATTGTATTGCATGAAGTTACAGAAATGCTGAAGGGTACAGCGAAAAATAGAAACAATCTTGTAATTAAATTAATGAGTTAAATGAATTTTTGAAAGCTAAATAGATTTTTAAATTGAAATAAATTTTATGTAATATTTCTAGAATAATATTTTTTTGCAAAACGGCTCGCATAATACGATAAAAAAACAATATTCAAAAATGCATATAGTATGTACAATATGTCAATATCAATCGAAACTACACACAATATACTATGTATGTATTAAGCATTTTTTTTGACAAATTTTGTAACAATATTTAACGATATTTTTAAACAAAATCAAAGATAAAAATGTTTATTTATGTAAATCTAAAAGAGATTAATTCTTCTTGAAATCCAAATTTCACCTTAGGAGAAATAATAAGAAAGAAAATACTTAAATTTTGGTGATTAATTAAACTATATTTAAATCATGTTGTTTTTTATTTACAATAATACAATATTATTTAATAACGATTAAAACATTAAGAACTTGATCTAAAAAAACAACAAAAAAAACTGCAAACCAAAAACGAGTGTAAAACCATTAAAGAAAAAAAAAATTCAAATTACGATAGTCATACCTAACCACGGCTATTACAAACCGTCCTAAATTAAAAGTTACGTTTCTAAAATTTTTTTTTGATTTAGATTCGCGCCATAATAGTTATACACACCTATACATTTAATTATTTTGTTATTTTATAAATACTCTAGACGGTTATGCCATTATCTTCATTTAAGTAATTTACATAATTAACTAACTATTTAAAAGTAATTTGAAAAGGGAAAAAGTAAGAAAGAAATTAAAATATTAGAAGATTGTCTTAAACCACATACATACTTGTATTGCGATGTTCCTCTTTCACTAACCTTGTGTTCATTATGCGCATGTTTTAAAAAATAGGCGTTATACAATAAATAAAATCAGAAAAAAGCAAAGAAATTTTAAAAAGTAGGTAAAAATAAGAAAAAGAAAAAAGTTTAAAGAAAAATATAATATATAAAGAAAAACCAGTTACCGGTTTAATTTACTAGTTTTTCCTATGTTACTGTGTTCATTCTCTTTTTGATATTGTGATTTAGTGTATTTTTGATTTCAGTAATTTGTTCTCTAGTTATTTGTTGAGAAGTAGATAACCGTTGTTAAAACAAAACAATAACAATAAATATATGTAAATAAATATAACCATACATTAGGTTGAGGATCGAGCAAATAATTTGTTACAATAAAAATTTGTAATTATAAACGTTGTTCATTCTCTTTTTGATATTGTGATTTAGTGTATTTTTGATTTCAGTAATTTGTTCTCTAGTTATTTGTTGAGAAGTAGATAACCGTTGTTAAAACAAAACAATAACAATAAATATATGTAAATAAATATAACCATACATTAGGTTGAGGATCGAGCAAATAATTTGTTACAATAAAAATTTGTAATTTTAAACGTTCTTTTTTTTTAAATTTAAAAATATATAAATTTAACTTAAGCGATTTATTCCTATCTTGAACGCATTTACAAATGATATGCACTTGTAAAACAAAAAAAAAACTAGTTTTCTATTTCATTAGAAATTTTTTATATCGCGAAAGTTAATTTATAATTAATTATATGAAAGTGTTTATCAATAGGCAATTTTAGATAAATTGTCGAAATAATATAAGATAATGTACTATATAAAAAAAATCGCTATATTTAGATTTTCTCAAAAAATATTTTCTGATCTATCTTTTTACGTAGTTCTGATATATGTATACATAAATGTTTTTTTCTTTTTAAGAAAAAAAGTCTAGTATTTAAATAATTTTCAAAATTAATTTAAAAGCAAAATTAAAAATATAAAAAATAAAAAAGCCTCTTTAAAAAAGTAAAAAATACATAAAACTATTGAATTTATATAAATGAAATTAATTAATTTAATTTTTAAATTCAGAAAATTGCAACTTATTAAAATATAGGCAAAATGCTTCCTCAAACTCGAAATTATATTTTTTATTCGAATATTTTTAAAAAAACATTTCAATTAGTCAAGTGTTCAACCTTAAAAATGCAAATCCAAATTGTCGCACTCATCAGCTACATATGTATACGACTTAAATTTTGTTTTGTACCTTAACAGATAGTCAACCTAAATCGTAGTTCTCCAAATGAAAATTTTTATTACCAATTGAAAATTAATGAAAGAAAACAATCTATAAAATTTGTTTTCTAAATATGTATAACTAAATAAATTTTTCATTTAAAAATTTTTTCTTAAAATTAATTAAAATTCTTTTTAATTTTAAAATTAAAACAAAACATTAATTTAGATTTTGTATATATAGGTATATATAGGTATATGCACATATATTAGATACCATGATCACTCATGTTTAAAAAACTTCGACATACCCTACTTATTTCTGGATTACTATGGTTTATCAATTGCATATAAATCTGTTTATGTAATTGTATTTCGTTTGTCATTTCTTCAAGTCTTCTCAATAATGTGTCCTTTTCCTTTAATAAAGTTTTAACTTTTTCTTCAACTTCACGTGATCTTACTTTTGCCTTTTCCCGACTTTTCCTTACAGCAATATTATTTCGTTCTCGCCTACGACGATATTCATCAGTGCCTTTGTCAAGTTGCTTTGGATTCTGTTTACGTTGTGATTGTAATCCATTACAACCACTCATTCCCCCCATACCGTTTATGCCACTTAAACCGTTTGTCTTATGATTATTATTATGATGATGGTGGTGATGTTTAAGTGATGCCAAATGTGCGCCAGTTAAATGTGGTAAAGCTTGATGATGTAAAACAGCGGCGGCTGCTGTTGCTGCTGCAGCAGTTGGCGTTAATGTTGTAAATGATGTGCCGTTAGTGTTCAAATTGCTTCCATTTGAAACATAAGAATTTGCAGCAGCTGCTGCTGCTAGAGGATACAAACTGTTCGGTGTTCCACTATTACCGGTTACACTATTACCAGTTGTACCATTACCCAACAAATTAGTGCCATTTGCTACAGCACCTAAAAAATTTCCATTTGTAACATGCTGCAAATGTCTACGATATTCTTGAGGATCTAGTGGTTCTTCTTTAATTGTTGATGTTTCAGACCCAACTGATGAATTGTCATCACTTGAATTAGAATATGTTGCACCAGAATGAACTGCTTGCGGCATATATGCTAATGCATTTCTACTATAACCATTATGATGATTATTGTTACCATTACTAATACCATTCTGTCTTAAATTTTGATGATGTTGATTATGTTGATGTTGCATTTGTAAAACTTTTGCAGCAGCGCTAACAACTCCGTTTGCCATTGTTGGCAATATGTTATTATTATTGATTAGACCATTAGCATTATTGTTAACAATATCACCAAATATGCCTAACGCTTCTTGTTCGCGAAACTGATCATCAATCAAATGTTGTAAGTCCAGTGAAATTTCTTGCGCTGTTAATTCGTCCAATTCAGTTTGGGCATATTGTTGTAACATGTGTTTTTGCAATATACTACTACTATTATTTGTATTACTATTACTATTATTATTGTTACTATTATCATTGTTATTTGTTGTAGTATTGTTATTATTATTAGTATTAGTTAAAGCAGCCTGTTGCATTTGTATATTCTGTTGTTGTTTTATAATTAATCCGTTTGCACCACTGGTTGGATTATTGTTGCTACCGTTATTATTATTATTGTTATTATTACTATTACTACTATTACTATTATTACTGTTGGTATTACTACTATTTGTGGACCCATTTGATGTTGGACTACTTGACATTGCGGTTAAAGTTATTTGTCCAGCAACTATTGCAGCTTGTGGTGCTGCTTTTTTCAAATCCAATTGTGTTAATGTTTGTACTGTATCGAACATTTGTGGCGAATCCATGTCCTTTTGATTTAATAGAATCATTTCATATCCGTATGTGTTTCGCCGTTTTGAGAGAAAATATGTTAATTAAAAATTTAAATAATAAAAGCAATATTTCTTTCAAAACACTGTTTTAACTTCATTTATTTTTTAAAAAATTTATTTAATTTTAATTATTATATCAATTTTTTTTAAATATTAATGTACGCAAATTTTGTTTGATTAGAAATTTGAATAACTTTTTTTTGCTTATAAATATTCTGGCAAATATTTTAGTTTATTTTTGATTTGCACAAGTTATTTTTACCATCTGTGATTTCGTTAAACTTCTATTTTTTTATCCAAATTTCAATTTCTTAATTTTAAATATAAACTGTTTTGTATAAGTATTTTTTCAAAATGGTTTATGTTCAATTTACAAATTTTATTTTCACGATAATGTGGAGTTTTATCCTTTTCAAATTTTAATCATTATTTTTCAATCACTACACACCGAACTTTTTAATTGTCAATCCGATCCTTAACTACCGGTTGCTTCTTATTGCAACGAAAATTTTCCGAAAAGCTCCTAAATTTTCAAATACTTTTTTTTTTCTTGTTTACTTATTTAAAAAATGCCATATGTTTGATTTATATATTTGATTAATGTTTTTTTTTTATTCAAATCTAACTAATTCAAAAGCCTTCGAGTGACTGAAGTGTCTCAACAGTGATGCAACTGATTTTATATTTTATTAACTTTTTTTCTAAAATAAACTTCTTTCTTAGCTTTGTATATTGTCGCTATTTTTCGTTGTTGTTATTAGTTGTGTGCTTTTTCTTTACAATATTATCTTCCCATAGTCTCACAAAACAAATCAGTTTATTTTATATAATTATTTTTGTTTTTTGTTTTTCTTTATTTTTTAGTATAAAGTTTTCTTTTATTTCTTTATTTAAAAAAACTTCCTTTTCATTTGTGTACTCGTACACTCTTTCATATACGTATGCAATATCATACTTAGATTAATGTTTATATATATATATATATATATATTCATGTATGTATATTCAGTTTACCGTTAAACAAAAAAGTGATAAACACATTTAAATTACTGCATACACTAACATCGTCACGATCACGATTGCAAGCAAAATAATGAAAAAAAGCTTTCAAATGAAAGTGAAATTTTTGATAACTTTTAGTATTCATGTATTTGTTAGCGCTTTTAGAGAAAGAAAAAAACAACTACCATTTTTAGAGAAAGAAAAAGCAAAACATAAAATATAATCGCTTTATATACTTGCTATAAAATATTATATGTTTTTGATTAACAAGCGCTATAAAAAAATTCGTCTTTTTTCCTTTTTCTACGTCTTAACTGTTCTGCTATAAAACGATCACTGACCAAAAAGTGTTTCTAAATCGCATTGGTTTTTTTATTTTTTGCCTTGTAATAAATAAGTTTTTTTATTATCAAGAATGCAACAAATATAAAAAACATGATTCAAATACAAAAAGTTAGAAATTTAAACAATAAAAATTGTACTCGCTATATACATACATTAAAGTAATGTACATACACATATATAAATATGTAAGTTTAAATATGTATGGATAATACAAATACTATATTGATAATTAATTTTAAAAAAAGAAGATGGTAAAGTTTTAGCACAATAGAAAACAAACCAAAAACTAACAAAATATTTTATATAAGTGTGTATGTATTTAGCATTTGGTGGAAAAATTTATTTTATCAACCTACATTTGTTTTATTAACCGTTTGCTTACATAAATAAATTCAATGTGGGAAAAATTCATAAAACGGTATAAGATGAGTACTCTTATCAAATTCAAAAAGGTAAGAGTTTTCGGCGCGGTTGTGTACAAAGCATTAAAATTTTCTGCTGTAATATAATATAATAATAATTAATTTTCATTTTTCGTAAATTATAATATATTATCACATACCATATGTATGTGGGTACACGTATATGTTAACAAAGCATACATATAAACAAATGTAGAGCTTTACAGCTCATTTGACACGTCTTTGTTTTAAAAATATTTTAACTACCTCTTTAACTTTTATAGAAGTTTACCAGTTTTATGAATTTTTCACACATTCAATCTGTTTATCTATATATGCAGATAAATAAAATACTGTTCGGTTAAATACATACGCATAATATCTTGATATTTCAAAAACTGTATTATCACATTCGTTTTAAGCACATTATAAATACACATATATGCATTATGCATATCGCCAATCCATTAATATGTACAAACGTTCATATTTGTATTATATTATTATTATTTTTATTATTATCAACAATAATAATAATGTTTTTGTTTTATCATTATCACTAATAGTTATTATTCTTATTATTCATTACTTTTATTATTCATTATTATTATTATTATTGTTATTGTTATTATTATTATTATTATTATTATTATTATTATTATTATTTTTATTATTATTATTATTATTATTATTATTATTATTATTATTATTATTATTATTATTATTATTATTATTATTATTATTATTATTATTATTATTATTATTATTATTATTATTATTATTATTATTATTATCATTATTATTATTATTATTATTATTATTATTATTATTATTATTATTATTATTATTATTATTAT